AAAAAAAAAAAAAAAAAAAACTTTCTTTTGTTCCAATATACATGCCCAATAGCTGCTGGCCAGGTGAGTGAAAACACCCTATACGAAAAGTGGGGGTGAAAGAAATGTACAGGATAAGAACTTTCATAATAAAACTATTATAAGTAGTTTAATTTGAAATATTACAAAAATGTAATAGAAAGAGAAATTTAAGGGTAAGTTGTTAGTCGTTTTTTTGTGTTCGTTGACATTAATAATTATAAGGAATAAAACTCGGGCTGGCTATTATAGTTCTATCTAATAAGTAATTCAGAACTTTCATTTACGAGTGCAAACAAAAAAACACCCTTTAGCTATTAGAGACATCACTGTTTACAAACATTGTTTAATTGCAAATTTGTAACGAGTGAAACAAAAGAATTTTTGTCGTAAGAACGGCGCTTCTGATCGAACCATTAACTTTCAATACTAATATTAGGCATTCCTAGAGATGTGGACCATCGCGTTTACGGCAAACGGCAAACGTGAGATTAAAGTTGAGAAATTTCAGAAAGAGAAATGAGCAGATAAAAACAGCTTAAAACAATTCTTATGGATAGAATTGGCGTGAATCTACAGAATTTCGTGTAGTTATAATTAACAGTAGGGAAACTTGATCGCGTGGTACAAGTTCACGTTTGCCGTTTGCTTATTCTCTCTAATCAGTTAGCGACCTTTAGTAACGAAATCAGCAAAGAGAACGTCAAAAACCCAAAAGGTTTATTTAGCAAAACAACGACTTTAGACGCTTTTTTGTACATTTCTTTGCCATCACCGCACAACTATGACGTGCAAATGCCTAATTTCACGTGCGTAAACAAGCGACGACGAATTTTTCTTTCTCTTTCTAAACTTGAGTGCAGTCTCCAAATTAACTCCAGGAAAATTCGCTTGTATTTAACATTTTCAGCGAATTGGAATAAACTCGACAGAGTTTCAAAAAAAAAAAAAAGAGTTCATTTTTAAAGTGGTGTTTTCGCTGCCGTCGCCGTCGCCTTCGTCTATGCTAAAGCTCCCTATATTAATAGGTGACGTCAGCTTGAGTATTGCTTTACCATATACAGCTATTTCGAGAAAGGTTGTCGGAAAAAAATGTGCACGCGACAATTCCGAAAGGTAATATGGGATATGGTCAACACTGTTCCTGACGACTGTAGCTGTCGAACCTACTTTTGTTGCTTTCCTTTAGCACTCGAAAACACACTTCGATGGCCTTCCGTGACAATTCTTTCAAAATTCTTTGAAGAACAGAGAACTCAAAACCACCCGCAATGCCTTTCGGGATTGTCGAGTGCACTTTTTCCGACAACCTTTCTCGAAATAGCTGTATGCGATCTGCACGTTCTGATCAACTAAACCTTATTTTACATAATATTATCTCTCACCCGGGGAAAGCAAAACTACAGCTATGTTTTGACGGCAGTTTTTCTCAAAAAATAGCGAGTGTATTTCTGTGCTGCAGTAAAGTACCAACTGGAGCATTATAAGAAAAGAATGAAAACTGTTATATTATCAATGCATGGGGTATTATAAATGGCCTTGAATATAAAACCACAAGTGAACAGGTGGGCGTTCGTTCACTACCGGTATCGTTTACGTTTTATTTAAATCACTCAATCACTTGCCGATGTCCGTATTTTATTTATTAATGAGATAACATATTTTTAAAGGTGTTCCTATTCACAAGCTAAGCCTTATTGGCTTCCTTGGGCTCCCTTGCCTCTTTTCCTTGTAATTAATTTTATGGCAAAATGATAATAAAACAATGAAAAAAAAATTTCTACCAAGTTATATGACAAATTGACCAGATGAAACCATTAGCCGATCAGGACAGGACTATGTCAAACGTTTTGTTTTTGGACCAATCAGAAAGGAAAGAATTTGGATATTTTACATATAATCTTTTACACAAATGGTTTATACCCTCCTTCCAGCGAGAAAAACTAAAATCAATAATAATAAACTTCTTAATAAAAGGGGATTTTCAAGCATCAGTGAAAATTAACACGACACCTCATGCTAAAGAAGTAAAATTAAATTCTGAAGAAAAAAGCTGCAAATCTTAGAACAACTTATCGTATGAGAAGTTTCAAATTAATTCATATATAAATTGATTGTTGTGTAAATCATCACCGTTCCCTCTTGGAAAAAAACTTATTCATACATTGATCAATACGTATGTACGTTGCTTTTCCCATTTCTCTTTGCCCTGAGGATCAGTTTGCTGTTGTTTCTTTTTTTCTTTTTCTTTTTTTTTTTCATTACGAGGAGCAAGAGGATGTGCTGTTGTCATGGCAAATGTTTATTTTTCAGATCTTCCTTTTTTGGTTAAGAGGGAGAATCCATATGGTCTGAGATCAAAAGTCCATCCGTGATTCTCAAAAAACGTACCCTAAGATTTATCTCGTACAAAATAAACTAAGCAAGTAAGCATTTATTTATTATTCATGTAATTGTTCAATGTATTTAACTGATATATATTTATTTTAAGTCAGGTTTGTTAGTAATAGTATTGTCAGTGCATTTGATCATGTCAGTTTAGCATGTTAATTTGCGCACTATCAATTTCATTAACTGGAAGGCTTTACCTGTGTATCTTCCTTTTTGAAAAACGTTGCCGATAATTAAAGTCTTTAAAAGGTATTGAAGGTCAACTATTAAAATACGCTCTCGACGATTGCCTGCGTCGAAGAAAGATAATTCGTGGGCCGGCTGCAACGCATGCTATCTCGACGTAAGTGTCTGGTTGCACCTTTATTAATAGCGACCTTTAGCAATAAAGACGAGAACGAGGACGAGGACTGGTATGACCGATTGGGGCCTGGAACGAGAACGTCGTCCACGGCGGTATTTCGGCGGGAAACAAAAACATTTAGCAAACCGGTTACGGTACGTGGACGATTCTCTTTCCACAGTGAAAGTCACCAGGGAAAATGCCTTTCAAAGAATTTCGTGACCTCCTTGTACTTCTCTACGGCGATGAAATTATTTCTGATGAAGAGTTTTTGCTACTTTACGATAGTTTCATCTCAAAGAATCCAGATTTTCCCCATGAAAACTATCAACGGTTTGATTTGGAATCTATGAACTCTGCGGATGAGTGCAAAGCAGAGTTTCGTGTCAAGAAACACGATCTCCCTACCTTGTTGCTTGTTGACTGCTATGAGAAAAGAAGATCATTAATTCTTTAGGTAAACATTGATTATAGTTCCGCTAGTGTGCAATGTGTGTTATGATTTTAAATTATTTGGATAAAGTCGTTTATACATAGGACTGTATAAGACTCCAAATAAAGCATTGTCTTGTCTTGTCTTGACTTGTCTCACGTTTGATTTTAATTTCGTTTCTAGAGGGGCGTAAACACGACGCAGGGATGTTAAACGATTCTGGACTACTACGGGACCTTCAACAGTATGCCTTTAATCCAGCAGCTCAAGCTATGTGCATTTATGGAGATTTGGCCTACCCTCTGCGATTTCATCTCCAAACATCGTTCCTTCGTGTCCCACTGTCATTAATTCTTTTAAATTTCTTGACTATGAAAAGAATTTGAAGATAGGCCTTAGCAGCGTCGGTAAAATGTATGTTGTCTGCGCACTTCTCCGGCCGTAACGCCATTACATGCCTTTATGGTAATAACACCAGTGGTTATTTTGGTATTGAACCCCCTTCCCTGGAACAATGCTTTCAATGGCTTGTAGTCTAGCTGTACTGATTTTGATGATGTATTTTCTCCTTCCTGGATAATATTCAGTGCAATGGGATGTAAAATATAGACTGTAGGAAAGAAGGAATTATACTTTTAAAAAGCACGTTCAATGTACAGGAAGAAAATAAAAGAAAACGCCACACATGCAAGTTTTGATTTATGTGGTTGCTATGGAAATGCAAATGTCACATAAACATGATAATGGCACAAACGAATATTTCCAGATCAATTTGGTGCCTATAGATCAATCCATCAATTTGAAAAAGTTAAAAGAGTCATTCAAAGACCTCCCCCC